GTGTGGTCCTGCTGAGAACATAGCCGTGGCTTCAGAATCTCCTCTCAGCTTTCCCCCTGTCTCTGCCTCTTGACCATATTTCAGCTCTAGGAAACATTCTATTAACCTCCCGAGTATCCCCTCATAGTTGCCCCCATCTTTGACCCTCTCTCTGGGCCCTTTTAAACTTCAAGGTGAGCAAGGTTGAATCCCAGTGGTTCTTCTAGATTATGGTATCCAGTGGCACAGAGAGTCATTTTGTTCTTGGCAGGCTGGAGGTGGGGTTGGGGCTTGGATTAGGGAGACAATAGATGCCATTGAACTTCCTCTACTCCTGAGAAGTGATCCTTCAATCCAGAGAATAGACCAGATATCTGGATATCTGGATAAAATGGATGTCTGGAAGGATGTGATTAGTCCATTATGAAGAGAATTAGAACCTTACAGCTTGGGAGACCCCTTTGGTCTGAACTGTGTAGAACTGATGGCTCAGGAGAAAAAAAAAAAAAAAGGAGTGTCTGGACTCAATGGCACCTAGTGGGGTAATTTCCCAGGGTGAGTGTGAGACTCTAGCCTGGGAGCCAGGAGAGTGTGCACCCCCTCCTGAGAACCGTGAGGAGGTTGTAAATTAATGAGATAAAAGAAATGAGCAAGCTTTCTGATTGAAACTAGGGTATTTATTGGAAGTTTATACATTCAGGGGGAAGGACTGGGATAACTGGAGTTGGAGGGAGACCCTTTTCCTGGGGTCATTAGCCCTAGGCCCCAGGGATGCAATGGGAAGTGGGGCCCTAAGAACATGTTGCAGGGGTCACGCTCTTCTCCACGGTGCTCCCCTCGTGCGTGACCTGGCAGGTGAACGCGCTGCGATTTCGGCACTGGTCGGCAGTCATGCTCAGGTAGCTGCTGGCCGCGTACTTGTTGTTGCTCTGTTTGGCGGGGTTGGTGGTATGCACGCCCTGGGTGATAGTTGTGCCATCTGCCTTCCAGGTCACTGTCACGGCGCTCGGGTAGAAGTCGTTAATCAGACACACCAGTGTGGCCTTGTTGGTTGCCAGTTCCTCAGGAGAGGGTGGGAACACAGTGAGTGTGGGGGTTGCCTTGGGCTGATCTGAAGGGTGGAAAAGAATGGAAATTGAGTTGCCAGAAGTCCAGCTCATCAACCAAAGAGTGGTTTGTGGTGATAGGCCAGGGCTCTTTTGCCAGAACAGAGCCCTCCAGACATTGCCACACCATCCACTGGGAGGTAGGTTGGTGACTTGCTGGAGCATATTCCCTTCCTTTTTTAGGATCCTTTGAGCTAGACCCGAGAGCATCACCAGTGCTGAGACTTCTGTTGACCTCAGTCTCTTACGCAGATGTCTGACTATGACCTGCCTGCCTCTTCCTCCTCCTGATAGTGTTAAGGGACTGTCTGATGCTATCTCTGAGTCCTTAAGTGGAGGAAATGAACAGTCTGAAGCTCCTCTAGGGTCTACTCTGTGGACACTTCTGAACTGACTCCTCTGTTCAGTGGGCTTCTGGGACCCTGGACCTGTGGGGACTGTTATACCCAAAACTGTCTACAGGTTATGGGCCTTGCAGGATCAGGGACAGTCTGTGTGTCCTTGACTCTCTCTGTACTATCTACACGATCCCCACCCTACTTCAGCTTTGGGATCCTAGTACAAGATGATTTCATGGTATGGATTTTGCACTCCATCTACTTACGATTCAGGTGTGGGAGGGAGTGTGTCCCGAAGAGACTCAGGAGCATACTGATCACACAGTGTGTCCTCATATGACCCTTCCCAGAGCCCTTTGGAATATAGACCCTTTACTTCTTTCCTCCCTTCTGCAAGTTTCCTGCGTTCTGGGCTAGCTCAGGTTTCTAGTCGTGGCAGTCCATGGAGACCCAAGCACTCATGGGGAGCCCTTTGATGTCCTGCCTGTCCCAGGTTCTGGGTCCTGAGTTCCACCACCCAAGAGATCTTCCCCTGAGCCCTTGCCCTGTGGTTTCCCTGCTTTGGTCCCGAGGGTTCTGGCTTATTCTAAATTTCCAATTGCTCACTCACCAGGGCTCTTTGTCCCCCCTCCCTGCCCCATCTTATGAGAATTTAGCTGACCTACTCGTAAATCTCCATGACAGACAGGGAAGGATAATACAGAGCAGGTCTTAGGGACCACATGCCTTTGCCAGATACACAGACGTGAGATTGAGAGGCCATCCCACCCAGTCCCTGCCTCTGGCTTCAGTGCTGAAAAGTCACAGTGACCAGCTGAAGCAAGCAGAAGTATTCACAAGGAGGAGGCAGTTCAGTGCCCTGGACGCTGAGGCCCAGGGTGATATCCTGAGCATAGACTGAGACAAGACATGAAAAAAGAGCAAAAACATACAAAAATTGCCACATACTAAGCAACTACAGGAAAACAGGGAGGAAACGACTCACCTAGGACGGTCAAACTGGTCCCTCCGCCGAATACCCAACACTGTGACACAGGCTCATACAAAAACCCTGCTTGTATACCCCCGTGCCCCTCCCCATCAGCCTCCACCTGCAGCTGTGATTGAGGAAGCTCAGTAAGTTCCCCCCGTCTAAGTCTGCTTAATAGGGAAGCCATACCTTGCTCACTCCTCCAAGCTCAGGATGGGACAGGTGTCTCCATGCCATCAAGTACAGAATGCCTAGTAATAGAGTCCAGTGGATATCAGTATCTTAGATGCCACGTTTCCCTGAAAATTGCCTGGTTGTGGGAAAGAGCTCAGTGGAGTTCCCTCCCTGAAGGTAAAGTTGTATGAGGGGCCATGAACTTTGAACGCAATAGAGTTGACATAACCCTGATCTGATGAGGAACCACAGGGAAACAGCAAGAGGCATCCCTAGATGTCCCCAGTTCTCTAATGAGGGACAGATTTCCCCTGAGTTCAAGGCTTACAGGAAGCTTCTGTCACATACAACTACGAATCCAGGGAACTCCTCTCCAACTTCCTTGGCATTGACACAGTTGAGGATGGGCCTCACTCAATTCCATTAAGATGTATCAAATTTGTTTTCCAGGAAGGATGTAGAAGTGGCTGCTGTCAACCTCAGGGTCTTATCTGCTTTTTAGGTATATCTTGTATTGGTTCATTTAAATGGAAAGTGTGAGTAGCACTGATTTGCGTCACTAGCTGCACCTCTCACTACAGGGACAGTCCATTCAAGGTCAATGGCCTATTCTAGGATTGTGCAGAGAAGGCACAGAATATTTGCAAGAACATATTTTTCCAACAGAAAGCAGGAAGCCATCCAGGTCTACTGGATTGTTATGGCAGGATTCTTGGCCTCCTGAAGAGGCTCCCAATGAACAAGTTTTCCTCAAGATAGAAACCCAGTAGATGCACACGTGTGGGATGTAAGCGTAGTACTTAGACTTCCTCATGATTTTGAATTTAGCTAGGGGAGACTTCAGGCAACCAGGTCATTACTAGGAAATTGTT